AGAGTCCAACTCTCAATTTCAGCTCAGGTCATGATCCCAGGGTCCTGGGATCGAGCCCCACATCAGGCTCCCTGCTCCGCAGGAAGCCTGCTTCTCTCTCCCCCACCCGCCTGCTTGTGTTCCTTCTCTCGCTGTCTCTCTGTCAGATAAATAAATAAAATCTTTAAAAAATAAAAATTAAAAAAAAAGAAAAAGAGAGAGAGAGCAGGGAGAGGGGCAGAGGGAGAAGGGAAGAATCTCAAGCAGACTCTGTGCTGAGCTCAGAGCCCAATATGGGGCTCGATCCCATGACCCTGAGATCATGACCTGAGCCGAAATCAAAAATCGAATGCTTAACCGACTGAGCCCCAAGCAATGAACTCTCTATATACAAGTGTCCCTCTCAACATCATGGGCTAAATGTCAATGACTCCCTGGTCCCCCAAAGAAGAGGAGGCCCCCACCAGTGTCTTCCAGTATACTAGAGAGCCTTCACTACACCTGCTCTAATCCAGAATAATCCCCTCTTTATGTCTTTTGTTGATAAAAGCCTTTGGATCAGTTCAGCATCTTTGAAAGAGGGAAGTGGAGTGAGTCTTTAGTCATGAATCTGGCTTTCCTTGCACGTGGCCTTCCAGAATTTAGTAATTTTTTTCTTCTTAGTTGTGGTATCTTTACCACAGTCTTCCACTGTTTGTGACCTCTGGGGATGGGACTATTTGTCTTTGGTTCATGTCATCATGATGTTACATCTAACTTTATTCTAACTCATTTGCATTCCCCAAGTTCATAAAGAAAGCATTCTTGGTTACTCAAGAAAACAAATTCAGGAAATCACTGGATTTTCTAATAACACAATGGGAAAAAGGCAAACATTTATTTTTATTTGCAAGTGCAGTTTCTGCCAATAGTTAGTGCTCACAAAACCTTTTAAGCTACAGTAACTTTCGGTAAACTCAATGAATATTTATAAAATACCCAGTGATAAGAAAATTACAGAAAAATTTCTATTACACTGTTGAAAATGTTTGGAATCCAAAATCCACAATTTTCTGCAATGGTTTTTAATATTTGTTCTGGTTAAAAAAAGATTTTCTTTTTCTTTCTACTTCTACATAGTCCTGGTTAAAGTAATACAATCTGTTCCATGAACTTTTAGGACGGTCATTTTCTGGATTTAGATTTTTATTCATACATATTTATATTAATATTTTAATATTTTACATAAAACATTGATTTGTTGTGTTTTATGAAACAAAATTATAGGTCCTATTCATGGTGAGACATTTCCAGTTTGGGGGGAAAAACTGAAAAATCTACTCTGTAGAAGGTCATTTTATGCCTTTTTTTTCTTTTTTAGCTATAATAAATAATTAGCAACCTATTAATTACAAAAATTCTTAATTATGCTTACAGAAACCAGAGCATTTTCACAAATTTAAATCCCTATTTGTTACAGTATGTTGAAGTCATTAAGAAAAGCCTCTGGTTTTCCAGTTTGGTAACAAATGGCTTTTTTTTCTGATGCATAATTAACAGAAACTAATGATGACTATGTAGCTCTTCCAGAGTTTTTAAAGGCAAATCTATATTGGCCTACAGTTAACATGCAAATTCATCCAACAAGCAACACAAAATGTATTGTAGTAGTCATTCATTTTTATCAACATTCAAGAAGATCTAGTCAGCAGCACAACTCCCCTATGTCGGAAACACATTATAACAGGGTCACAACTGAAGTCAGAACACACCTGGTAAAATACCCCCTTCCTAATTCATCCTCTAGAGTCAGTCCTGACTTCCAGCACGATACAGGAACAATAGCAATACTGTGGTACGACGGTAAATACAGACAAGAGTTTGGTGTGCTAGCATACAGAGTTTTCAAAACAGTGACAAACAAAACCAAACATCTTGCCCTGTTCTCTCTCCTTTCCCTTAGTGAGACTGGAATTCTCAGTCTTCCTTTAACATTCAATTTGGGGAACTGAGTCCAATGATCCTAGCACTGAAAATTGCTCCCTTGGCGGGAAATGTGGCCACACAGGGGTGGGGGGGAGTCGCACCCACTGGAGAGAGGGCGTGACAGGGGAAACACCCTGCTGTGCAAACACTGGTCTGCGATTAATAGCCTTGAAGGAAAATTTGAATTTTCCAAAGATTTAGCTTTATCTCAAGGAGTGGCTTGGTGGCCTACTGTGGCTCCAATTTTATTATTTTTGGTTGGATAAATGAAATGTGCACCTCCATCACCATCACTCTTAACTCTTCCTCCATCACATAAGACACTTGTTAAGATAAGAAAGATATTCTACTAAAGCTGACGGTGATTGAGAGTCATTCAGTATTCAAAGTTCCTAAAGAATCGTTGTTTCTCTGAAAGGGATAAAAAAGTAGGAAAGGCTTTGTTCAAACTCTTGCTAGTAAACAAGTATTACTTTAACTTATACTATGGCTACGTGACATCAAAGTACTATAAATTATCAAAACTATCGTACAGAAAAATTACAAATTCATTGCAAAATACATTACACTGCTACCATTAAGAAAAAAGTGCTTTTTGTTTTCCTTTTTTTTTTGCCAGAAAAGTATTCTTTCAATATAGAAAATCCTATGCGTTACCCTGCATGTGGCTAGGATATGTCGTAACGGAGTTTGTACTGAGTCCTTCTGATTTGCTGGATGAAGGGTTGAAAAATATAATAATGACTTATTAAAGCCGTGTTCCAAATGACCACGCCAGCTGTCAGTGGAGAGATGCCTGTTTTAAGACACAAGAAGATGCCCTGGTCTGTTGAACCCTGCCTGTCATCACATTGTCCCACTGATCAGCTGGTTAGAGTACACAGGCCTTTTTCATGTTCCTCATGTTCTCCTGAATTATTCTCATGTCCTCATCTAGCTCTTCCAACTATTCCACCAGTAGAATCCTCTACTCAGTGATGTCTGTATTGTCTCATAAGGGGAACGATGCAAGATGGCGGACCTGCCAGTTTCAAGAATGGATGTCCAAGGAGTTCCTGGGCTGTGGCTCTTTGGGAGGGTTCCCTCACCAGCATCAGGTCTAGGAATCCCCGGAGCACTGAAGAAACCTGTGAGAACACAAGATCCCATCCTGAGGACTAACACAGAAACCCAACCCAGTTCCCCTAAAGTGGTTTCCCAGCCACTTTCCAGTTACGTCATTCTATCAAACAGTAGCAAATTCTAGAAAGTCAGCTTGAGAAGAAAGAAATTATGGAAGCAAAAGCAGGTACTGCCTTTAGTAACATATGCTGTTTTCTTGACCTTCTTCAGTGTATGTGCTGCCGAAGTGAATGCTTCTTTACCTTCTTCATGTTTGAAATAATAGGAGTTAATGATAGAGCAATGAAACATGATGGTCGATTTGCTAAATTAAATAATAATAGGAACAATAGCATTATGAAGTGCTTACTATTTATAGGCACTGGTCACATATATCTGATGGAAGTGTGGTACAAACATGGAATAGTTTTATTTTTCTAACAATTGCAACCATCTAGGCTTTTTGGACTCCCCCTTCTTGAAAACAAACAAGGTTCTGGAAGGATATCTGACACAGATAGTATGTTTTCCTGTAATTTCTTGTAATTTACTTTTTGAAGTATATCTTACATACATTCAAATGCATAAATGTTAAGTGTATGACTTACAGTAGTGTGTGTGTGTGTGTGTGTGTGTGTGTGTGTATACACCTATTTACTCTCCAGCCCCATCACACTACAGAACACTTCTACCACTCCGGGGGGCTACCTTGGGCCTCCTTCCTGTTAATACTCATCTCCCTGCAACGAGTCACCACTCTCCTGACTTCTGGTAGCATACATTAATTTTGCCTCTTTTGTCCTTTATAGAAATGGAGTTATATACCATCAGCTCGTCTCTGTCTGGCTTCTTTTACTCAACATTGTGTCTGTGGGATTCATCCCTGAGGTGTGCGGTAAAAGCTTTAAACTTGTCATTGCTGTATAGTATTCACTGTTAAATTATACCACATATTATTTATCCATTTGGAAAACAACCTTGGGTGGTGTCTAGTTTCTGACCATTAGGATTAAGGCTGCTCTTGTATGTGACTTGGAAGAACACCACGCCATTTGCATTGGGTGTGGGACTATTTTGATACCATGCTATTTTAGCCACTTTTGATTATTTAAAAATGCAGTAAACGTCTTAATCTCCTGTTCAATTCAAGCAGTTTCCTGTTATCCTGCAAGTTCACACAACTATAGGGGTGATTCTATTGGGACTCTTCTCTAAGCTTTAGGGATGGAGAGGGTAATTCCCCCGCAAAAGGCAGCCTCGGTTCCTCCCAGTGCCAGACTGGCAGTTGCCAGACTGGTGTTTCTTTGACTCAACATCATTATTTTCTGAGCTTGACCCTACTTGGCAACACTTGGAAAACAGGAAAGACCCTACTTGTTCCCTTAACCATGCCCTTCATTGCCCTGTATGATCCAGCCCCTGCTCCCCTCCCTCACATGTCTTACCCTTTCCCCTGGCTCGCTTTGCTCAGCCACAGAAGCTTTCCATCTTGGCACAGGGCCTTTGCACCTGTGGTTCCCTTTGCCTCAGACTTTTTTCTCCCGGATCTATGCATATCTTGCTTCTTCCTTCTATTCATATTCCAGTTCAGACAATCTGTCCCCAGAAAGGGCTTCTTTCACCTTTCAACCTAAACGAGTTCCCAACACCCCTCTCCTTCATACTCCATTGCATTACAGCGTTTGCTTTGCTCCACTCCCTGAAATTATTTTGTTCATCCATTTGTTTGTGGTTTTACCATCTGCCTCCCCAACTAGAACACAAGCTCTATGAGAGTCAGGAAATCTGAGGTCTTGTGCTGCAATATCCCCAGTAATTAGAACAGTCCCCAGTATGTCACAGGTGCTCAGCAAGGGAGTTCTCATTGAGTGCCTGACTCTTCTAGCCAACCCTACAAAAGAGGAGCCAATTGTAACCCATTTTACAGACAAACTTCAGAGATGGAGAGGCTGAGTCCCTTGACCATTGAGTGAACAGGGAGAGCAGAGATTTGAATCCATGTGATTCTAATTCCAAAGTGGATGCCCATAAACCAGGATCTACTTGTGGATACGATATGCCAGTCTTTGAAGCTACAGAGAGACTAAAATATCTAAGAATGATTTTGAACTTCAGCAACAGATGCTGCTTCTCACCTTGTGTAGGTCCTTCACTCTTGGAGGTAAACTGTCCCGAATCCTCCGCATGGCCTGGAGGGGAGGCTCATTGAAGTAGGGGGGTTCGCCATCGATCATTTCTATCACCATGATCCCGAGGGACCAGATGTCCACCTGTTAGGCACAACCCAATGGTTATCTCAGGCAAGGAGAACATTCTGAAATGTTGGATGTGTCCAGGGGACCCAACAGATACATACCCATTTATAAATTAAGGTGGTATTTGTAAACTTCCAAAACCTATAGCACAGATTTACAGCCTGAAGTGCCGAGTTACCAAGTTTTTGCTAATGGTCTTCATTTGCTTTTTTATTTTAATTGTTATTTTTATTTCATTTAAATTCATTTTAATTAACATATAGTGTATTCATTTGCTTTTTAAAGACAACTTCAGTGAAGATTCTGCCATTTAGGTACACAGGAGCATCTTAACATTCTGGAGTTCGGAACTTTTTTTTTTTTTACTGCTATCTTTGGTGGTTACCTATCAGGGCAGATGATAAAAACACCCAAATTTTATGTTATGAACATAGAGAAGAAGTTGCATTTAAACCATAAAAAAAGGCATCTGACATATTCATAACAAACTGCAAAATCTACATTGCACAACACTATATATGCTGATCCTTCTATTAATTTAATTTTTTAAAATAGCTCTTCCTTCCCTACATTGGGGTTCTTTCCTTTGCATTTTATCATTTTGAAGCAGCGTGCACAAAACCCTGCCTTACAAAACCATTTTCAGGGAACAGAGAAAAGAAAAGGAAGAGACAACAAGCAATTCTTTCTGAGTGCAACATGGGAAGTCAGGATGATGAGAAGCCATAGCTGGGCTATATCAATTCCCAGTTACAACTGCTTCCCCGTTCCAGCCACATTCCACCTCTTATCAGTGAGCTGCATTCCTGTTATAATGCTTGCTGTGATCTTCACTGAGAATTTATGCTTTGGGGACCACAGTGAGACAAACAAGTCGAGTACTCATTCAAGGGCAAGCAAAGAAGGGAAGGAGAGCCGAGTCCGCCTTCACTTATGCCGATATCCTTAGTTCACTGGTCCATGCCACCTCTTCATGCTTCTCCTCTCTTAGAATCACCTTCCGCACCATAATGTGTGGAAACGCTGTGTGCCCGGCTGGAACGAGCTCCTTACTGCCGTGTGCATAGACTTGCGTGCCTCAGGGCTTTGCTCACAGTACTCCCTCTCTAGAAGGCTTTTCCTCCACTCCTTCCGGCCCCTCATTTTCACATACCCAAACCTTATTCCTTAACAGATTATGAGCAATTGTTTCTTTTCCAAGGGAAACAAAAATTGTGCCCTATTTTAAAATACATTATAATATTCATATATAATTTTTTCTAGGGGAAAATGTTACTGCTCAGCCAAATATTACTCTATTTTGCAGAGCTTTCTCTGACCATCTATCCTTCGAGTCATGACACCTGCTAATCTATGCATTTCTGGCCACGTTTCAAGTTGCATTGCCTTGCTTGGGGTATGCCTGCCACTGAGGGTGGGGTCAGAGTTTATGTGATTCCCCTCCTACCCCCAGTGGCTGTTTAGGACCTCAATAAAGGCCTCTGGATCAATGTTGTGGCAATTTCCTTAATGGTGACCAGTCCCCTTCCTGCCACAACCTACTCTGTGACAAGTCTAGTGAGTGGGGGTCAAATACGGAGTCAAACGTTATCACCCCGATCTGTGGTCATTAACTCTCTCAGAACCACTGCATCCCTAAGCCTGTCCAGCCACCCCAAAACAATGACTGTCACCCCCTTACCTCTGTCCCATAAGGTAGCCTAGAAATCACCTCGGGCGCCATCCAGTAGGGAGTGCCAACCAGTGATTTCCTCTTGGGCACCTCTTTAGAAACTTGAGCACAGAAACCAAAGTCCGATAACTTTATCTGAAAAGGAAAGGAATACAACAAAGTTAGCAGTCTAAAAATGCGAGCTTCCAGATGGAGAAATAGAGTTTCAAATTCAAAACAAAACAGTCTCATGAATAGGCCTTGGAAATACTGGTGGTTGTCAGACCTTTTTATTGGAAAGGCACGATCCATTTTAATGGAGAAACCTCCCAGGCTCCAGGGTTCACTTGCAAATGTGAAACCAAAAAAAATTTACAAATTATAGTCCAAACAACAAATTTGTTAAAATTCAAACCCACAACCTAAGTAAATTGCTTTTTTTTTTTTTTAAGTGGGCTCCATGCTGGGCACGGAGGGCTTGAACTCATGATCCTGAGATCTAAGACCTGAGCTGAGATCAAGAGCTGGACGCTTAACTGAGCCACCCAGGCACCCCAGTAAATTGCTATTCTTTTTTTTT